CAACAATAAAACGGTGGGACCTAGTTGCCAATCTAGTAGCACGCTTAAATTCATATAGTCGAGGGGGGGACAGGGAAAAAACTTAATCAGAACAGTTAGCATGAAAATATTTGTAGAAAAGACAGAGGGAATCCACGCTACATCGATGAGAAAATGAATAGTGTAAAGATGTCCAGTCAGGATCGATTACATTACATTTCTTTGTTTGGATTTTGTCAACAATCTCTAGATGTACAGCAGGTACACCAGATCAGATATGGCAGTAGTATTAAATGCCCGGATGAATGTTAGGTTTTGTAAATCTACAATATGGATTCTGACGAGATAAATGACAGGGTTCAAGTAGACAGAAAATGGCGATTGACGTGGCATTTAAATTTGTGAAGATTGTAATCATCAGGAAGGCAAGTAATCAGGAATTCCACTGAAGGGAAGTGAGAGAAAAGAAAAAAAAAGTAGAAGTGGCGGTTAGCATCTGGCTAGTTTAACCGTAAAACGGTGAAACCTAGTTGACAATTTAGTAACACGATTAAATTCATGTACTCGGGAAACCAGAGGAAAAAAACTCATCAGAATAGTTGCCACAAAAATATGTGTAGAAAATGTAGTTAAATATACTATCTAAAAATACTTAGTTTGTGGATCCTGTCTCAGCAATGCGACGTTAAACAGTAGCAAAGATTGGATGACACGGCTGCCTTATAATAAAGCCGTGCAGCCTCGCGTCCATTACCATTCGCGCCCATTACCATTCGCGCGACCGTATGTAAAAATCATATCTGCCTGCTCACGATATGAATATCTTGCCATTGTTAGAAGGAACACCTCTCAGTTAACTATTACACACATTAAATGTTGAAGACAGACTAACCTCAAATGTACACGAATGAGAAATGTAACCTAGTCTAAATGGCTACACAGCGCCATCTAACTTTCTTGATCCATAGTTTCGGTCTTCCTTGATCTATAGTTTGTGGTGTCACAAATCCTATCTCAGCAACGCGATGATAAACAGCAGCAAAGGTTGGATGACTCGGCTGCCTTCGGTCTGGAAACGCAACCGTGCAGCCTCGCGTCCATTACCATTCAAACAAACCATCGGCCAATGTTCTCCTGTGGTGATGGATCATGTTTCAAATGATACAGATACAGGAGTTGCTTTTGAAGTACCCTCCATGAGGTACTATGAGATGTACGGCATGCTAGGGCCACTTGACGTATGCTGACACCTGGATTGTCTCTGACTGTCAATAGAATGTGTTCTTCGTAGTCAGGCGTACGAGCGGATGTCGTTCTTCCTCGGTCCATAGTTTGTGGTGCCACGGGTCCTGTCTCAGCAACGTGATGATAAACAGCAGCAAACGTTGAATGACTCGGCTGCCTTCGGTCTAGAAACGTTACTTCGGTGAGGAAGTGACTGAAGTCGAGGTGCTTGATGCCCGGACGAATGGTAGGTTTATAAATCTACAATATGGATTGTGACGAGATAATTTCCTGGTACGATACAGACGAAGCAATTGATTCGACATTTCAGCAGGAAACGTGAGACCAAGAATGCGTAATGCGTTCATCTCCTATAGTTTAGCAGCAGCCATGCTAATAGCAGCCAGAAACGTTTCTCCGTTGCAGATAAATGAAAGTAGTCCTAATTGGGGGAGAAGGCACGGCGTAGAATCGGAGAAACGGGTTCGAATTCAATTCAAACCCATTGCATTCATTTACGTGCTACCTTTGGAAAGGTATGAATCCTCCTCTTCTCCCCACCAGCTATGGATAAATAGACTGAGTTCTATAGTCTTAGATGGCAACTGGCCTACCGCAGAAAGAAATGGCAACCTACTGCTGAAAAAAAAATCTGCCTTAGGCAATCATGTATCAAAAGATACATGATCACCTTAGCGTGTATCACACATGGCACATAACTGACTGAGTTCTATTTTGGAGGCGCTAAAATTTACAAGGCATTTCTTGTCCAAGTTAGCCCCTCATTGGAGGTCGTTTTCAAGAGCATTTGCCAAGTTTACTTTGCCAACGCTGTCAGATTCGCTGCTGAGATAGGAGTAAATGGTAGTGTCATCTGCAAGTTGGGAACTGATTACACCCAGAAGATGTTTGATGCAGATCAGAAACAGCGTAGGACCCAGGATGACCCCGGCGTTCATAAGAAAGGATCCGGAAGTTAGTCAGTTCAACACGACCTTCATTTCACGATTTGTTAGGAACGATTGGATTAAACCAAATATTTATCCCGTGACAAAGTCGCCCTGGGGCTTGTGTAGAAAGCCAACATATCAAAACTTTTCGAAAGCCTTCGAGATATCTAGAGCCACAGCTCGAGCTTCGCCGTTCTTATCTACCGCTTGATATACAAATGCAGTGATAGCCGTTAATAGATCGAGGATAGACCTAGCGAAACGGAAGCCATATTGTTTGTCCGAAAGGGCGCGAGAAGTAAGATGCTTAACCACTTCAGCATTGATTAGAGCCTCGAGCACTTTTACCGAAAAGCGATAAGAGACTAACAGGGCGATAATTTGAGGGGTCAGAGTGTTCTCCAGATTCTTAAAAACATGAACTGCAGGGGAGAGTTTCCAACAAGCTGGAAAACAGGAAGTAGGAAGGCAATTGTTGTAAAGAGAATTGTTTTATTTAGTTTGGTTCGGTTTGGTTTGTTTTACGGCATATCAACCTCAATGGGTTATTTAATGACCACAAGATATTTATTGCTGGTACTATTTTTTTTCCCCAAAATATATTGTTGGTAACGTTTTTCAAAAATGTATTGCTGACAATTTTTTTTTAAATCAATTGCTGGTAAAAAAAAATTCCAAAAAGTATTGCTTTTATTAAAATATATTTTTATTCTTTTACAGTGTTTTGATCAATTTTGTGGATTTAACTATTTACCCATAGTTGGGGACCCAACAATTACTACCATCTGGGTCAAAATGGACCTAGGAACACCATCAATTAAGATGTGGTTCCACATTCCTCAAAATCTCCTGATTAGAGGCCTTGCTGTCGGACCTTGTTTATCGCCTTACGGGATTTATTTAAAGTTATTTATATTATATTTGATTCATTTGGAGTTAATTATATATCATACTTCTTAAATATGGAATAATTATATCTGGTAATAGGCAATATATGATATATGATAGTTTCTAAATAGTTTATTAATTATATTTGATGAGTCTTAAATAAGTAGCTAATTATATAGTTCTTGAACAGGAAATGATTATATATCACAGTAAGAAATTAATTAAATATGAATAGTTTCTAAATAGGTGATTAATTATGTGTATAATAGCTAATTAATTATCTAATGATTCATAAATATGTAATTAATCATATTAAGCATTAATATATTAAGTAGTAAAGTAAGCAATTATTTTAATTACATAAATATATATTAAGTAGGTAATATAAACAGGACATTAATTTCATCAAGATGAGCAATTATTTAAGAGATAATTATAAATAGTTAAGCCTCATTCATATCCCATTTCTTGTCGACATAATGTAGGCAATAAATTAAATCTGATAGTTCGGAAGTCAGCAACATAAGGAGGGCATTAATTTTGCATTCAAAATAGGTAATTATTTAAAAAAAAACAGATATGTACGATAATTCTTAAGTGGGTCATTAGTTTTACTTTAGATTCTACGACCATGTTCTCCTGACCAAGACGAGCATTCACTTTGCATCCGGTTGTAGTTTAACCTTACGCATGAATGAATGCCTCTCAAGACATGTATAGTCAGGCTGGTCGGGTTCTTGGAAGTTCAAAAAAACACACGACCACACCCTGTTTTGAGACCGATGATGACAATGAACACTTCTTAATGAGGTAATTATACCTGATACTTTTAATGAGACGATTATCCGTGGTATTTTTTAAGCTGTGGATTATTTAAAATCAATCTACTTAAATAGAGGATTAGCTTTACGGGAAGATTATAAATGGGCGATTAATTAGAAGCGACACTTCTTTGGAGATAATTAATTGCACGGTATAATTCTTAAGTAGGCAATTAATTAGACTTCCTACTTCTTGAAGGCGTTTAATGAGTGACTAATTAGACGTTCTACCACTTAAAAAGGTGATTCATTAAAAGTGATATTCCTTAGATATAACTAATTATTTATAATGCTTTTTTTTCCAGACATTTAATAAAAAATAATGCTCTATAAAGAGATAATAATGCTCCATAAAGACACAATAATGCTTCATTAATGTTTCATAAAGAGACACTAATTTAGAAATTATATTTCTTAAAGACGTATTTTATTGTCCATAACGCTTCTTCCAAAAGCAATCAATTACGCTACCTATTTTTTTTTTTTTACCCGGCTGTTAATTATACAGGATATTTTCTAAAGAGAAAATTATCCGCCATTTTTCTCTAACAGCCGACTGATTAGCCTCAATTCTTTTTGAAGTGAATAAATAATATATAATACTTATTAAAGTAACAATAAGCAATAACGTATAATAATATATCAAACTTAAGTATCACCAACTTTTCTATTATTAACACGAAAATTGATATTAAAACCAAAAGATTTCCGCATTGGTTTCGACTATATAAAGCACTGTTTTGGTTTGTGGGTGTGGTACAATGGGTTACGTTCGATTGGTTAGGATACCTGCATAGTCAAAACGGATGCAATTTATAGTAACTTTTGTTTACTGCGTCGCCTTTAAAATCAAAATGTGAGATCGATTGATTTGTTTTTTTACGGTTTACCAACCCTTTGCGAGTTATTTAAAACTAGAAAATATTTTTTAGATTGTAAAATTTTTTTTTTAGATAATAATGATTTATTAATACAAGTCTTAGTAATTAACCCATAGCTGCGGGGAGAAGAGGTTAATTCATAGGTATTCAAACGTATTTGCGCGTAAATACATACAACAAAGCCAACTGGATTTGGAACTCGGATCTCCGAGTAACAATTTCGAACCATTATCGATTACACCACCCGAACATCCAAGCTTACAGCACCTGGTATTGCCAAGTGGTCACCAATCTACGTACTGACCCGGATCCAGATTGCTTAACTTCAGTGATCGTACGAGAACCGGCGTTTTCAACATCCGTAAGCTATACCACCCGCGCAGCCAAGCTTACTGCACCTGGTATTCCTAAGCGGTCACCCATCAAGTTAGTGACCAGGCTAGACGTTGCTTAACTTCGGAGGTGTGAGAGATTTACAGCAACCACTGACTGTATATAGAGAAAAAGAATATGTTTTAAAAAATAAGCAAAACAACGTTACGGATCAAGTGACACTCGACCGGAAGGTAGGGAATTCCAGTAATATGCTCAGGTTGCTTTCTAGAATGGACCAGTTACACGCCATCCGTTGAGAGGTAGGCATTCGCAGTCAGAGAAATGCAGCCGCAGTTCTCAGTGTCTGAAAGGAAGATCTGGCCCGTTAGTTTATCGTGAGAGAAGACAGAAGTAGCTGCGAAGATGCCTTGTTTCTTACCGCCACATAGACGGTGTCAGGTGAATATATTGAAAACAGGCTTTTCTTTTCTTTTCTCGTCATTTTGATATTTCATATTTTCCGATCCTTAGTTGTGGATAAACTGAACCACTCCCAGTTTTGTTCCGACCGACGCAAAGGGGAATCGAATCAAGGAGTAAGTCAGAAACTGACCAGTCGTTGAAAACTCTCTGAGGAACGCGCCTGTATGCTTACATGGAAATTTGGCTACACTTGGTACAATATAACTTTTATGAAAAACCCGTTGAATATTGCCCTTGTGAACACGCTTTTCACAAAACAATGAGTATTATTTAAATTTAAAAACGAATAAAATCAGGCACCCATATTTCATATTTCCTGTATTAAACATGTTCAAAGTTAAGAATTTAGAATTTCATCATCCCAATCACTTGCTACATGGCTTGAACGAATAAGACTGCAATCTAAGAAATGTAGGATTAATTAAAGGATTCATTTTACTCGGGAATTATTCTAAACACAGATAAATATTTTATTTGCACAAATTATTAAAACTACTGAGGGAAGTAATCACTTATAAATTTACTAAAACTGAATTATCTCTCTTCCCACTACATAAATGGCAGGAAATATATAAATAAATAGACGTTTATAATTATTATATGGTTTGATGATAGACTCCCAAGACATACGTAATACGTTTTTAAGCAATTAGCCTACTTTAAAAGTATTACATACAATCGATTTTTAAGTAGTATGAGATCTAATTGATTGCTTAATTAAGTATATACTTAAATAATTATCCATCGTAATTAATTACGTAATATCTTTATACCAATATCCTAATCGATTGCAGAAATTTTTTCTCTTTGTTTTTTATATTTTAATCTTCTTATATAAACCATTTTATTTACTGGTATTTAAAGACATTTCATATTTAAGAACAAGATTGAGATAAGCAATAAAATTCGACCTTGTTAGACTTTGTATAATTTAAGACATTTCAGCATTTTATTTTTTATTCTTTGCATTTCGAATCCTGTCAAAGAACGAATATTTTCTATGAAAATTTCTCGGACATTCAGGCCGGTAAATGTTATTTAATACTGTTTATCATAAACAGAGCATTTGCTTAAATACTTGTATCTATAAAATAACAACGTTAAACATAAAAAAAATGTCTTTAATAAATAAAATTGTCGGACCTTGTCCATTTCTTAATATATGACGTCATTTGTTTACATTCGATACGCCAGAGCAGTTATGAATGTACGAGATTCATGGAAGATTGGAGTTTATAAGCAGTAAATTCGACCTTGTCTACCGATTGGTTCTTTGTAGCCTAGAATGTAAAGGCACGTCGGCGTATATGACGGTTCCGTATAGGATGCAGGTTCGAATCCTGTCAAAGAACGAATATTTTCTATGAAAATTTCTCGGACATTCAGGCCGGTAAATGTTATTTAATACTGTTTATCATAAACAGAGCATTTGCTTAAATACTTGTATCTATAAAATAACAACGTTAAACATAAAAAAAAATGTCTTTAATAAATAAATTGTCGGACCTTGTCCATTTCTTAATATATGACGTCATTTGTTTACATTTATACGCCAGAGCAGTTATGAATGTACGAGATTCATGGAAGATTGGAGTTTATAAGCAGTAAATTCGACCTTGTCTACCGAAAGGTTCTTTGTAGCCTAGAGGTAAAGGCACGTCAGCGTATATGACGGTTCCGTATAGGATGCAGGTTCGAATCCTGTCAAAGAACGAATATTTTCTATGAAAATTTCTCGACATTCAGGCCGGTAAATGTTATTTAATACTGTTTATCATAAACAGAGCATTTGCTTAAATACTTGTATCTATAAAAAAACAACGTTAAACATAAAAAAAAAATGTCTTTAATAAATAAATTGTCGGACCTTGTCCATTTCTTAATATATGATATATTTTATTTACATTCGATACGCCAAATTCAGTTATGAATGTACGAGATTCATGGAAGATTGTAAGTTTATAAGCAGTAAATTCGACCTTGTCTACCGAACAGAAATCTTTGTAGCCTAGAAATTAAGGCACGTCAGCGTATATGACGGTTCCGTATAAATTTTTATTTTCGAATCCTGTCAAATACGAATATTTTCTATGAAAATTTCTCGATTATTCAGGCCATATAAATTATTATTTAATACTGTTTATCATAAACAGAGCATTTGCTTAAATACTTGTATCTATAAAAATAACAACGTTAAACATAAAAAAATGTCTTTAATAAATATATATATATTATATATTTATAACATTTGATAAATATATATATATATTATATATATTATAAATAAAAAATTTCATAAATATAGAAACTATATGATGGATTTTATAATTAAAATTCAAATTTTTTGTTCCTTATATTAAATATTATATATATATTTATATATATAATATATATTCAATAAATATAAATCAATGACATTTGAAAGAACAGATTTATTTTCGTTAAATTTAAATTTTATTAAATATTATTTTTAATAATGTAAACAGCTTTTTTATATTATTTTTTAATAAAATGGTTAAACGTAAACATAAATAAAAATGTAAAATAAAATTTGTATATATAAAAATATATATATATATATATATATAATATAAAGAAAAATAAAATTTAAACTTTTTTTATTTTTTATTCAATTAAAAAAAAATTTTAATTTTAAAAAAAAATATTTAATGTTTTATTAAGAATTTACAATTTATTTTAATAATAAATTTAAATTTTTAAAAAATAAATAAACAAAAAAAAAAAAAAAAAGTTTATAAAATAAAAACTAATTTTTTTGATTACCTTTCATATATAAAAACGAAATTTTTTACTTTTTAAACATTTTAAAAAAAAAAAAAGAAAAAATTTTTGTAATATTAAAATTATTAATTTTTTTTTGAATCACTTTTTATGGAAATTTTTTTTTGTAAAAAAATTCGTTTTTTTTAAAAATTCTTTTTGTTTTTTTTTAAATCATTTACCTTTTAATTTCATGAAATTAAAAAATTCTTATATATATATATATATATATATATATATATATATATATATATATATATATAAAGAAGTAACACTATATGTGTGTGTGTTTTTTTAACATATTTTCCGCAATTCTAAAAAATAAACGGTATAAATGATTATTTGGCATATTTTTTTATTTCAATTTTGAATTTGTTTTATGTTCCGGTTTTATTGTTGGAAATGTTTTTTTTTAAAAAAATTTAGACCCTCTGAGCTTTACTTTTCCATTTTTTTTAATCTGACATTTAATTGGTTAATAAAACATACCCAATTTAAAAATCTATTTTTCTAATTCTTCTTCTTTATGACCCCGACTTTTATTTTTCCATAGTTAAAAACTAATTGGTTTTTTCAATTTTTAAAAAACATTTAATTTTAAATACTTACCATCACCCAAGAAATTTCATGTGGATCTTAATCGAAACATAAAACCTATTGTGTAAACGATTTCAAAAAAATTTTCTTATTATATCTTTTAATATTTATATATATATATATATATATATATATATATATATATATAAATTTATAAATTATATTAAATTTTGATATTTTTATTTTTATTTCCAAAATTATTTTTTAAAAAATTTAAAAATTTATTTTTTAAATAAAAAAAATAAAATTATTTAGTCCAGTTTATAAGTAATTTAAATTATTTAAATTATTCCTTATAAAATATTTTTCTCGATTTTTTTTAAGATATTAAACAAAATAAATCAAAATTTATAATAAAATTTCAAAAAAATTTTAAAAATTTGATTTTGATTAATTTAAAAAAATGTTATTGTTTTTTATTTCTATTTTAAATCGTCTCATGACTATCATCCGACTTAAAACGTAAACAAAGTTAGAAAAAATATTCCAATTTAATATAAGAATAAATGCTATTTAGTTTTTTTTTTTTTATTATTTGTTTATTTTTCGGAATATCTTTCATTTAAACGTAATTTTAAATACTGGCCAAACTTCTTTATTTGGTCAATATCTTTCCTTTCTGATTCGATCCTTATCTGATTGGTCAATATGTTTCCTTTTTGATTCTGTCATTATATGATTGATGAATATATTTCCTTTCTGACCGTTCAATATACTTCCTTTCTAATTTGCTCATTATCTGATTGGTCAATATGCTTCCTTTCTGATTCTATCATTATCTGATTGGTCAATATTTTTTCCTTACTGATTCGGTCATTATCTGATTGGTCAATATCTGTCCTTTCTCTTTGTTTTCAATCTTTCATTCTAAAGGTTCTTCCTTTCGTAGACCAATCCCTACTATTTTAAGCTTTCATCCACTGGACACATGGTTCAATTGGTTGAAGAGATACAAAAAAATGAATGTGTTATATTTGTATCAAAATATCCGGCCAAAAGCAGAGGGATCAAAAAAATAAATGATATATCAAAATAAAAAAAAAAAAAACACGTGGAAATAAAAATAAAACCACCATTTAAAATTTTGATTCTGATTTTGTTTTTTGTATATCATCAGAAAGAAAATTTAATGAAAAAATATTTGAAAAATAGAATATGCCAATAAAGATGTCAAACGATTAAATAGTGTTTTTTTTTTTTATTACCCGATTTTTTTTGGCTTTTATCATCAAGATAGAACTTAGATGAAAATGATAGTATATATACAGATTAGTAAAGAATCAATAATATTATCGGTCCTGATCTGGCGGTTATTTGCTTTCAATATTTTTTCCTAAGAAAAAAAACTGCCTCCTGTGTCTTTTCTATAAATATTTTCATGTAATTGGTTCGGTGAAATACAAATTATTACCTTAGACTTTTTTAATTTAAAAATGAAAATATGGGAAAGGCATCGATAATTCAGGAATGTAAAGTTGAGCTGGCAAGATGTATTTTAAATTTATTCTATGCTGAAGTTTCTTCTTTTTGTTTGTTCTCGTTCTTTTAACTCAAATCTGGTTTTGCTTTCAAACCAACTTTAATCTTTTTTAATTTTTTTGCAATTTAAAAATTTTATCCATTCCAACGTGATTATTCTCTTTTTTTCTAAAAATCATTAAATGTTTTCTATTTTTTTTTTTTTATCTGTAAACCTTTTTTAATGTTTACAAAAATAAAAAAATTTTTTAATTATTTTAAATCGTAATAATTAATTTATTCAAATTTTTTCAATTAACAATGGTTTTCTATCTATCTATCTATCTATTTCTATCTATTTATCTATCTATCTTTATATTCTGTTCATATATTTATCTATCTATTAGCATTTTGTTTAGATAAATAAATTTAGAAAGGCCTGGAAACTCTCCTGATTTAAATCCAATTTGATTTTTTGTCAATCTACAAATAACGATTTCATGAATGAACATAAAAAATAACGAAATTATTTGTTTTTTTTTTTTCATTTGCATAAGGTTGTAGAATCAAACCATCTTGAAAAAAACTAATCTTTTTAAAATGAGCGTAAAAAATTGTATATTTGCTCCCCTGAACACATGGCAAAACCAGTGAGCAAATCAAAATAAAATAATAAACTGAACATTTAAATTTAAATATTTAAATCCAATCGAGAATCTGTAGTCAATCTGAAACTTTTTATTTAAACAACTTTTGAAAAATTTTTAAAGTAATAACATTTGCACATTTAAATGTTTTATTGGAAAATATTTTAAAAATAAATAATAACAGAATTATTCGTTTTGTTTAATTAAATTTGCACAAGGGTGTATATTTAATACCACTGTTCAAATGCTGAAAGATATTTACTTTCGAATTACATACTGAGGGCTTCTAGAATGTGATTGATTGCTTCATTGACGCGTTTTCTATGGCTTATCAACCCATTGCCGGTTATTTAAAGCCAGAAAATATTTTGAGATTGTAAGATATTTTAAGCATAATCGTTTATTGATATAAGTGTTACTAATTAACTCATAGCTGGGGGTAGAAGAGGTGGATTCATTAAAGGTGAATGCGTGAATGTAACGTACACGACCAGCATTGGGACTCAGCTCTCTGATTAACAATTCCGAACCTGTGGTCGCAGCGAGACGGCACTTGGGTTTTGTTTGGTTTGTTTTGTTTTACGGCATATCGACCTCAATGGGTTATTTAATGCCGACAAGATTTTTTATCGCTGCTAATATTTGTTTTCAAAAATGTATTGCTGATAATATTTTTTCAGAAGTGTATTGCTGGTAATATTTTTTTCAAAAATGTTTTGCTGCCTCATTCAGCATTGATTAGAGCCTGGAGCAATTTACCGAAAAGCGATAAGAGACTAACAGGGCGATAATTTGAGGGGTCAGAGTGTTTTCCAGATTCTGAAAAACAGGAACTGCAGAGAAGGATTTTCAGCAAAGTGGAAATCAAGAAGCAGCAAGGCATTTGTTGTAAAGAGAATTGATTTATTCAGATTATTTAATGCTGACAAGATTTTCAAAAATATATTGTTGGTAATATTTTTTCAAAAATGTATTGCTGGTAATAATATATTGCTGGTAATATTTATTTACAAAAATATATTGGTGGTAATATTTTTCCTTCAAAATATATTGCTGGTAATATATTTTTTCTTCAAAAATGTATTGCTGGTAATAGTTTTTTCCTAAAAAAATGTATTGTTGGTAATATTTATTTTCTTCAAAAATGTATTGCTGGTAATAATTTTTTCCCAACAAATTTATTGCTGGTATTAAAACCTATTTTTACACTTTCATAGTGTTTTGATCCCCAATTTGGGGGGTTAACTATGTGCCCATAGCTGGGACCCTAACAGGTGCTACCACTCCGGGTTAGAGTGGACCTGGGAACCTCAGCAATTAAGAAGTGGTTCCACGCTCCTCAAAACCTCCTGAACAGATGTAGTTTATCCTCTCAGCCAGGATGCCGGTTGTAGTTTATCGTCATACCCAGGACGCCGGCTCTTGGGTGTAAAAGATATGATCTAGTGCCACTAAATTGATTTATTGATTGATTGATCTGTTTCTCGCAGCTGTCAACCTTTTGAAGGTTATTTAAAACCATAAAATATTTTTTAGATTGTAAGAATTTTTGGAGATGATAATGACATACTGATACAACTCCTACTAATTAACCCATTGCTAGGAAGGGAAGAGGTGGATTCATGCCTTTCCCAAAGGTATTTTCGCATAAGTAAATACAAGGGGCCGACTGGAATTGGAACTCGACTCACTATTTTCAAATTCCGAGCCGTTATCCGTTACATCACACGCACATTCAAGCTTACACCACCTGGTATTCCCAAGTGGTCACCCACCTAGGTACAGAGAACAGACTCAAGGTTGCTTAACTTTGGTGATTATACGGGAATTAGTGTCTCAACGTGATAGTGACTGAAAGCCCAAACTTGAAGAGGTTAACAGTGTTGTGTTGGGGAAAGCAATGCCGCGCGAGTATGTTACTCAAAGAAACAATTCTCCGGAAGAAGCTTTCAGAGTATCACACCCTGAGAATGCGGGTCTTTGGTGTAAAAGATACGCTCTAGTGCCACTATATTGATTTATTGATTGACAATATACTTTTTACGGTTTATCAACCTTTTGCAGATTATATAAAACCAGAAAATATTTATTTAGAAAGTAAGAATTCTTGGAAATTCTTTTTATGTACTGATACAAGTCCTACTAATTAATCCGTTTACTATGAAGGGAAGAAGTGGATTCATGCCTTTCCCAAAGGTATTTTCGCGTAAGTGAAGCTTGGTATTCTCAAGAGGCCACCTATCTTGGTATTAACAAGGCTTGACTTTGCTTAGTTTCGTGATATGGCCGTAAGGCATACTAACCGACCCTCCAAGATCACAGCACCTGGTATTTCCAAACGGTGTAAAAGATACGATCTAGTGCCGTGATGTGAACGGAAGCTCAAATTTGAAGAACATTGAGGTGTTCGGGAAAGCATTCCCGCAGGAGTATGTTTCACAAATTAGCAATTATCGGGAAGGAACTTTCAGAGTATCACACCCTTCTTACCAAAGGAATATATAGAGAACTAGCAGCATGGCCCGGCGTTGCCCGTGCTTGATTCAAAAATCGTACAACTCATACAGCAATCGCTATCACTTGACTTAAAATATTTTTGCCCTTCCTTGCCTTTAAAGGAGTGCCCTTTGCCGTGCTGATGTTGCTACATGCCTTACTTCTTGCCTATCTCACACTGCGAATTTTTTCTAACCTCTATACTAAACATTAAATCTGTTACGAAAAAAGAACTAAACAAAATGAACACAAAACAATCAGCTTTAAAAAAGGACTCGTAACTGGAAAAACCGAATGAAAAAAGAATGTTAACAACAAATACTTTTTCACACCCAACCCAGTTCTGCGGAATCAGAATCAACTTTGAGTTTAAGCAAGCGAATGAGCCAATTGGAGTAAAGTGTCATGCAGATTTAAATTTTTCCCACTTATGACGAATGCAGCTATCGATTTTTTTTGCATGCTAGCATGCTAGTTAACATTCGTGTCAGTCACCTGTTGACTCTCACACTGGCCAATAGAATCTTCCTGCCTATTCGTGGCAGCCAGCTATTAGCTCGCACTCTGGCCAGTAGAAAATGGCCGCAAACTACATGAAAACTGCCGTAGAAGCATAAAAAAATCGATTATTTCCACTATCGATGGGAGTTGGGAAATACAAAGTCGGTCTTGGGCTTCCCGGTAACTTGGAGCATGTGCATGTAAATTTTGGTGCAAAATCCGTCGAAAATTGCGGCCGTGCATTCGTTAAACACACACACACATCCTGCCTTTTATAGATAGAGATGAAGGTGATTGAACTTCATACACAATGCGGGTCTTGGGCGTAAAAGATACGATCTTTGATTAATGGTATGGTTTTACGGTTTATCAACCTTTTGCAGATTATTTTTTGTAGAAAATATATTTTGGATTGTAAGAATTCTTGGAAATAATAATGATATACTGAAACAAGTCCTACTAATTGATTTGTAGAGGTGTAGTCAGGCATTTTGCAAAGGTCAAGCTTACAGCACTTGGTATTTTCAAGAGGCCACCCATCGAGGTACTACGAAGTCTCGACGTTGCTTAGTTTCGTTAATCATACGGAAGCCTGTTTTTTGTAGGTGACATGACCGTTTAGTCTCTAGAATTTAAGCATTTTTTTTATTTTTACAGTTAATGTACATGCATTTAGAACTTCTTACTATTGATATCGGTGCTTAATATATACACTAAGATCGAACATATGTACTGGACATACGCGGATATATTAAGAACAATGAAAATCCTCTTTGCAAGTCTCTCCACACACGTATAACGCCCAGCGATCAACGCAGTGTTTCAAAGTCTCTGAATATGTGAAGGACAGACAGATATACTGAACTCCTGGGTTTTGATAATAGCAACAGACATTGCTGAAAGCGCTCGATCAAAACATTTAAACGATGGTCATAATCAGTCAACCCAAGCACATGGTCGCTTCTACGTTAATAAAAGTTAACAAAAACATTCTTGTCGATTAGAATTAAAACTGTGTTAATTGGACAACATAAATACGAAAATTTTCTCTTGCTTTGTCGCGGTTCCGGAAGAAATATGATTGCTGAGATAGGTGCTTGCAAATTCATCACATAACACATCCTAGGGCAACAGTTTCTTGCGTACTGCTTCTTTAACAAATTTGTTTCATTTCGTATCTATAGAGCTGGAAAGCAAGCATTAGAAACGGGAAAATATACATATTACACCGGTCAGCCAAAAAAAAAAAAAATTTGAAATGGTGTCGAGACACCAAACATCTTTTTAGCTAATTTGAGGGTGCTGAATCTGAAAATGATCTTACTTTTTCTTGGTTAGCTAAAGAAATGCCTCATTATTTTTTAAAACGGCATTTTTTTTTCATTTGTTTTCTGTATATATAATATTGACCGATGGCAATATTTCTCAAAATAAAATCGTAGAAACCTCTCAATTCGTACTTAAACCAACAGATATTGTTTGCTTAGTGGGAAATAATATTTTTGCAATAACAATCAGACCCTAAGTCTTTAAAAATAACACGTTTGAATATATCAAGACCAACAAATATTTTCATTAAATCATTTAATAAACTAACAGCAGAAAATAAAACCATCGTGAGCATAAGAACTTAAATATTCTCATTCTTGATTGTCTGTTATGTTCAATATTATTGAAGTCCCTTTTGATATTCCAGCAGTATCATGTACAATAAGATAGGTGCATTCAATTGGGATGTCTTTAATTGGAGTTTCTTTCCAACTGTGAAAACAAAATTCTCTCAATCTGTTTGGTTTCCTTCCGTAGTGAAAGAGTAAAAGTGATGGGATAAATTTATGAACATCAAACAGAAAATTTAAGGTTTCATTTTTTGATGTCACCTTAATTATCAGCTTTACTAAAGTGTATTACTTGTAAAGTTTATCAGTTAATTTGAATTTGGGCGATAAATTGGAAAAATTCGGTATTTCTATTTTAAAATTTTCGACTCAAAAACAGTTTTTTCTTATAAAAAAAAAATAGTTCATTTCAGATGGCTGATATAAATTGCTTGACCTACCTGAAAATTGATGGGTTTCTACGATGATTATTAACCAAATTTTGCGATCAGCCTAGATCGTAAATTGATCTTTTTTTTTCAAAAATGAGCAATTTTGGTACAGCGAAAATGGTAGCTAAAAACACTAAGGTCAGTTTCGGAATCAGCACTATCAAATTTGCTAAAAAACGTGTTTTTTTTTTGTTTTTTTTTGCACCAAATCGCGTTAACCAGCGTCATCCAAGGAACAGAAGAGACACATCAGCCATAAAAGCGCTTTTAGGGCTAAACCTGATAGAGGATTTTCCTTAAAAGAAGAAAGGTTTTTTTTTTTTTTACCTAAAGGTGTGGATGTTACATAATGAAATGGACTCATCTATTTTTTTTAATCATTTCACCCTCAAGCCAAGTAATAAAGCCACTAAGACTGAGTGTGAAAGAATATGAGAAAAAATTATTAAGGAGAGAGAGCAATAACAACAGGATTGGCGCTAGGGTCTCGCCCCACCTGAAGCTTTGATACGCCCCACTACTCTCTACCTATTTCGATTTCAAATTTCCCTACTTGGAAGCCACAAACACTCGAAACAAAATTGCCAAAAATCAAGGAAATTATCCAATTTAAATTAAAATTTCAGTACATATTGATTAATTATTTAATTTTATAATAAATTGTTTTTTTTTTAAATTCCGAGAAAATATTATTCATTTTGTAATAACCACCAATATTTACATGACTAAATTTTACTCTAAAAAAATGTTTAAGTCACAAATTTTTACATTTACATAAAGATTAATCACCCATGCATCTCCACTGAAAAATATTTCACAAAGATTCCAACACAACACAAATGGGATTGTCAGAAAAAATTATTTTAAAAACAGTCTTTCAGTTTTCCGGGAAATTTTTCATATGTTCAAATCTTTAAACATTTTTATTTTTAAGCAATCATTTTCTCGGTTTTCTCTTTCTAGAAATATAAAATATAGGAACTAGAAATTTTATTTTAATTACTATTTAAAAAAATCTGAGAAGCTCCTTAGAGGATGATCTCGGAATAAAAAAATGATTTACCGAGATATATTCCCCTCTTAATTGATTTAAAAGAACTGTTGAGAAAGAAAATTACAATTAAAAAATAAGCGCTACTGAAATTAGTACTTCTGCCTGCTTCCCCAGTAGGTATGGGGACCTCACGCGGTTGAGAGGTTCGGGGTAGTAAGCACCGGCCCAGTCGATTATTATAATTGATGACTGACAATATAACTTAGGTAGAAAAAATGTAAAAGTACAAAAAGCTAAAAAAAACGCAGCTGAAACTAGCCTTTTGGGGGCTCCAATCTCATTAGGGGATTCCTGTGTAGTACGTACCACACCGGCCATGCAGATACATGACGTATATTATTAGTTGAAGACTGACAACGTAACGTCAGTTTAAAAATAATTTTTAAAAAATGGCGGATGACCCTAAAACAGTGTTGAAAAAATGGCAGGGGCCATAACGGAGCCTCCAGATAAAAAAAAAAAAAACCTCCTCCCCGGAGGTGGGGTTTCGCGGGTAAGACGCGCCAGCCCTGAAAGAACAGAAATTAAAAAGCCAAAAAACGATAGAAATTGATTGAGATTTTCGAAGATCAAAGTTAATTGAAGAAACCAGAAACCCAATCCTAAACAAGGGATAAACCTATACTTATGTTCAAAAGACCGGGGTGAAGTGTGAGCCGGGCGATATACAAACCTATCTACTCTTATTTAGGTTAAAAAAAATAAATAGTAAATAAAATTTCAGAGTTTAGGCGGAGATG